TGCCTGTCCGGCCCGGTGGCTGCCCCCTCACCTCAGCGGCAGCTGTAGGCCCCAGCCCAGGCCCTCAAAACGCGACTGCTGAAGGTGCCCCCACTGCACCCCGAGGTGGGGCGAGGAAGGAGGAGGATGAAGGGCACAGCTAAACGAAGGTTTCAGCTTCATTTGCTTGAGAGAGAAACATCGCTCCCACCTCACCCTGCTGCTGCAGGGCTGACTCCAGTGGGACGTGCGTGGAGCGACAGCTCAGCGGCCTGGGCTGGTCCCAGCTCAGACCACCGTTATTTACGGCAACTTACTCAATATAAACAAAGAAAACGAGAAAGAGGAGGAGTGCTGGGGTTCGAACGGGCGAGCACCAAGCACAAATCACTCTTATTAATTCAGGCATTCCCTCACATGCGAAACACCTATTGTGACCCATCCCTTCCAACACAGGTGTTTGTTCTAATGTATGTACCCGGACTTCTCTGAGCCGCATTGCTGTGAAAGAATGATGCAACTTTACCCCTTTCCAATGTGAAATTTACTGCTAAACTTTTTTTTTTTTTTTTTTAAAGAAAACTCCGAGGAATTGAAAAAGCCACCATATTAACGGGTATGACAAAACTATTTCCATTATAATGAAGTAGGTTGGTAGTGCTTTAAAAAGAAAACTACTCCACTGAAAGAGCGTAAAGTGACCAGGTGGAGTCATACACAACCAAAACACATCTTTTAGCTGAAATGAAAGTTATAAAACACAGTAATTCAGGACAAAGCAAAGGATCTGTCCCAAAAGTCCTGTCCAAGAGCATTAGCATGAGCACTACCACGCCAGGCTGTTTCCTATCCCCGAGGCCACAATTACTTAAGACAATATTCACAGATGGCTACAGCAACATGAAGAAACTGGAAGCAGCATATTGGACTGACAGTGAGAAAACATGAAGAAAGATGGGAGAGAGATTGTGCCCTGCTTAGCGCTTGATGTGATCAAGTTCATGCTCCTTACCAGCACAACAGACACAGCACGCCGCGCCGCTGCTCGGGGAACGTGTGGGCCAGCCCGGAACAACCTGCTCGAAACTTCGCTCCGGACCCCGGTGCAGCAAAGTCACCAGCGGCGCTTCCTGGCGAGCGTCGCGGGGCCTTGCGAGCGCAGCAGCGACGCTCAGGGATGCGCGCGAGGGTCCCCGAGGGCCTCACGCTGCTCCGAGAGCAGGCGGTGCCAGCAGCAGATCCGCACACACAGCCCGCACTGCTGCTCCTCACTGGCATCCCCATGATTCAGGACCAAAGCCAGGCAGAAGCCCCGTGTGCCCCCTCTTGCCATAAGCCATGACCAGGCAGGAGCGAGCTCTGGTCCCAGCACGGCAAGGGGACAGCCACGCGCCGGGATAACCCACAGCACCGCCGGCAGAGCCGCTCCAATTCCCTGCGGATTGGGATTCAACGTCTGTGTGGAGAAAGATGACTGTTCCATTGACTTTCACCTAATTCTTCCTTTAAACAAGGATTTTGACATTGAGTTGATTGGTATCATTAAAGTGAGTAATTTTAGGCCTTGATCTTTAGTAATTACTATAGGAACAGTTCCAAATTGTAACTGCAACCACTTGAAGATGTGTGTCAAGAATCAAGATATCTATGTGTGTGTGTATATATATATATATATTTATATACATTATGTATGTCTATATATTTGTATGTAAAAATGGAAAAAGAAAAGAGGGCACACTTTAGAGCAGAATAAGTCCCACCAGGAGGGCATCCTCAAAGGCACATACAGATTCAGCTAGCCCCCAAGTTTTAGATTTTAGCAAAATACCATGACAAGAAACAAAGACTAACACTTTTAAAGTTTATCTATATTCTAATGTGCGCTGCGTGGCAGGCAATTAACCTTGCTGCATTTGCAACGCGCACATCACAAGAGAGCCTCATTACGAGGAACGTGCTGCTAAGGAGTGCAAGAGGTGCCGACAGCATCGCGCTCCCAGGGCAGCTCTCCCTCACTTCCCTCCATAAATAGACATCAGCCAACGTGGAATTAAAAGGCAGATTTCCTTTTTGAAACTACTTCTGCCATAACGAGGCAGGATGTTATTAATAAGATAAATAATAGAATATATAGCTATACTGGAGATAGATGGGAATTTTCACATTCTTTTCTGCTCACAACACATCATAAGCACAGGGGAGAAAGATTTCAAAGGTTTTGTTTTGAAAGGACCCCTTAAAACACATTGCCACAGCTTTGAAATTCTAAATAATATATAGAAATAATGACCCAGTAAAATTATTTATCCAGCTGCAAATTGAGCTGCACCCATCTGCATAAATAGTGAGTAGTGACATCCAATGCACAGAGCGATGTACTAGGCATTTCAGACTGAAGCCCATCAGTCTGCAGGAAGGCACTGCATCACCCGGAGCTGTACAGAGACCAGGACTGCCACCACTATATTCTAACATATAGAACTTAATGCAGACAAAGAGGCTGTATTCTTGCTGCATCACAAGACAGGCAGGAGGGGCAAAATTAAAGCATTTCAGAGTACAGGTACAGCCTCCTGCAGTGCTATCAAAAAGCAGGAGCTGG